CTGCTCCATCAGTCTTTGGTCAGTCTTAAAGGACCAGTGTGCAGGATTTAGAAGCATCTAGCAGTGAGTTTGCAGATTGCCACCAGGCCCCATCTACAGCCAGTGTTTTGTTTGTCCGTCCTGGGCTACTCTAGAAACATACCTCATTCTAAGGTAAACAAAACAACGGTTCTTATTTTCAGGTGATGACACGCAAATGAAAACATACCCATCAATATTAGCTTTCTGCCAATATATCCCAAACGTTACACACTGGTCTTTTGCAGGTTAAAGGTACTTTGTTTTCTGACTACTACAAGCGCTATAAATCAATGATGTGTTTTTACGAGGGGCCCTATTTTGTTTGACTGCATTGAATGCAACTGCATTTTAGTTGTCATGCAATCACTCAAATGATTCATAAGCCATAAACATAAACTGTTACTATGGACAGAATGAATAGCATATTTAAGCTTTTTTTGTGCACGTAGGATAATATGCAACTTCCCAACTAACAGCCAAGGGACAAAAGCATACTTAATATTTAATAATAATTATACTTAAATATATATTAGGGAAAGACATTCATTTCTACTGTGGTTTTTGTGGATACTATTGAACCAAACTGCGAGTCACTTACAGCTAAATATTTTTTTAACTTATTGTTAATGGTCTTGTTTTGAAGAAAGGTGAAAAAACACAACAAATAAAACAATAAAATGCACTAAAAAACATTTTTGCATACATGTAAAGTTGTCTAGTTTGATGGTAGCAGTCAAAGTCCAAAGACCGAGTTTGATTCACATCCTTTGACACATGTTTCTGTCATATTACTACAATATGGTGAAGAACTTTCATTTCCCATGCAGTAACTGCATTTTTTTTTATCATTTTCTATAATATTTATGTTTTATAATATTTCATGTTATGAAAATATACAGTGTCTCTTACATTGATTTCTTAGTGCTTTGAGCACACTGTTACATCTAGTATGGGCACACAGAGCAAGTATCCTTATTTAAAAAAACTCAATACATGACCACACATTTTCAAATAAATGGCCACAGGCTCAAAAATCATAGACAAAAGACATACACTACGTTTTAAAAAAGTGATTTAAATGCATTCAGAAAACTAACTCAAGATTGCAAATGTTTACTTACACTTGCCTTGGCTACACCAGGGAAATTATGAACAATTTCTCAAACAGCATTTTCCCTCAGTGAGGACATTCTGCAACAGAAACACCGAACCAGAAACTTAAATGATTCCTCGAGTGTTTGTGAAAGTCAGTCTCATTTTCCAGACTGCCTTCTCACAAAAAAAAATTACTTGATTAATGTACCTTCAGTGTACGCTACTCTCATTTTTTTTCTAATTAAAATATTGTAGCACAAACAAAACTAAGTTAGTAACAACAATTTATGTAGGAAATTGTAGAATAATAATAAAAAGTAGCTCAATTTATTTTCAGACTTTTTCCTCAGCAGATTTGAAGAAAACTCGGGGGGTGCTCATCCAAAACCACAACAGTGTTCACTGCTTAACCACCCTAACACAATATGAACAACACACCAAGTCACCACTGCTCAGACTACTAAAACCACACTACAGTCTCAGGCCGGCACCAGTCGGCACAGCTCGAACAACGTTGTTAATAACAAAATGGCAGTAGCAGTTGCCAGTTCACCCTGTGTAATTAAACAGACAGATAAGATAGTCGTCACATCTGAAAGCAATAAGTAAAGGATGAGCGTCACAAGCAAAAAGGGATAAACAGCGAATTATCTGCACCAGTGAAAAGTGATTACAGTTGCAATGTTTCCCCATCGGACCATTTAGTGGGTGGCACCGGCAGCTGGTGGAGAGACAACAGATAACAGTGTGCTGAGTCCATCCAGGATCGAGACTGAGCATATGTTACTGCTGCTATTTTAAAAACCAGGAGAAAGTTAGTTTGGAGATGTGTCAGTGCTGTACATATTGAACCAATTATCCAGAGGAGGTAGAGGAGGGCCTTGATGATAATGATGCTGTTGCCAACATCAGTGATGTCCAGACAGCCGGTATCCTGCTGGCACAGCAGTACATCAGGACCTCATTAATAACATTAATAACAAGTTTGCTCAATAATATTCTATTTGCAGTGGACAGTGATGGTGTTATTTGAAAAAGGACATCACTACAATACAATACACACAAGCGAAAATGGCTATTATATGAACAAATAGTCATTATTTTTTATTTAAATTCCCCAAATCCCTTTTCTTTGAGGTCGTATTTTCTGCGCTGCCAATTATTCCCCGGCTGTATTATGAGCCTTTACGCCTTTATCCTTTTTTTGTATAGCTGTATTCACATAACATGCAATAATTTCCTCATTACTTAAGTGATGCAATCAGGAGAATTTCTAGAATTAATGACAAGCTATCCTTCCAACAACAACTACAGAGCTGCGATTCCAACCACACAACTTTAAAACAAATGTGGCTGACCGCACCACAACTCCTCTTTTTCTTCTTATATTTTTTTTTTTCATCTCCATATTATTGTAGGGAGTGACATTTCCCTCGGGATAAATAAATAATCTAT